AAAAAAAAAAAAAAAAAAAATCAGATGTCACAGCAGGGCATCAATTTTTCATGGAAATCAAAGACAATTACAACTGATTGATGAGTTCATCAAATATTAACATGGAAGCTGAAAGGTAATAAAGGGGCAAGAGACTTGCGTGTATTCAATACACACCAACCACTTGCACTGCACTATCATATAGCCCAATCTTCCATCACTAAGTAATGCTAGAGCAAAGGAGATGTGTTGTTTGTCTGGAATCAATAAAAAGAACAGTGTTTAGACTCTGTTGTTATTGCTTACTATTGGAAACTCTGATCTGTCACCAGAGTTCATGATTTGTAATGCTGTTAAACAGGAAAAAATACCCATGCTGGTAATGTACCAGTGAAAATAAGTTTACCTTAAAATACGTAAATTCACAGGCTCTATTTAATACTTAATAGCATGCGGTCTAAAATTACAACACGTGCATTCATTAGGGATGTTTCTGGTCAAAAGGAAGTATACCTTGTGAGAGTCCCTAATTTCATATATAGGGAATAAATTACTAACTATTGAGAACAGAAGCATCAAAAAAGTTACCCGAATGTTGATCATAGGGTCTTAAACTAACTATTAATTACTATGGTCTGTAGAATAGAGTTTACTTCTAAGAGTTTACTACCAAATTTTAGATGGACGCATCAGGATTTTAAGCTTCTGTGATAGAATATTTGGTGCATGCGGTATTAAAAACTATAGCAAGCAAAAGAAGTTAGAGAAATGCACTCGGTGGTTTATTTTGGACAGAATAATTGATTATGCATTTAAATATTCCAACTGCACCAATCATGCCCATCAGGATTTTTATAGTTAACAGAATATCATCACAGGTGAAGAGTTCTTTTCTGAAATAAGTGGTGTTTAGTTTGTTAGATAAATTCAATTGCTTACCCAAGATTCATGGTACAAAACTGTGAGGAGGTATATTCCATAATCATAGTTTTGTCTCCTTAGTGGACATCTGAAATTCAAAAGCAAATAAAATACTTTGAAGTATAGCTGGTACCTTCTGGGATCTATAATCTAACAGCAAAAAGTTAAGAGGATTTGTATATTCTGCACCCCCATACCATAGGGAGGTTTTGTATTAAGCTTCAGTTCACAATCTATTGCTCACCCATGTTATTGTCTAATTACAAGTTATTGACACATTATTATGCTTTTTAAGCACAAGATGAAAAGTGAATGAATAAATGGAAAACCAAATGGAGCCTTAAAGAAGCCCAAACAATAAAGCAGTTTTCAGTAACCATTAAAGTCTGTTTAAAGTCTCTGCCAGACCCAACCCTTAATGACATTCTGCTTTCAATGGTCACAGGTCAGTCTGGACTGCATGAGATTTCAGTTCTGAAGATAGCATGTTATTCAACTGGCTGAAGAAAATCCATTAAATAAAATAGTACATATAAAGAAAAACCATACATTAGCTTCTAACTTACAAAAAATCTCAACAAACTTGCGTCAAGATAATACCAAGTTGAAGGGAAACTCTCAATCAGAATGGGATACATAAATCTACTCTGTAAGGTAAGTAGAATGTACAATCCTTGACTCATGGTCAGGTACAGGGATACAACTAATACAAGGAGCTCAGAGCCGTCAATAACCAAGCGCTACTTGAGGTCCAGAGTAGTGGTTCTCAACCATTTTAGATTCAAGGCACCCCTTTAAAAAGTGCCAGATCTTAGTTTTCACTTGTTTATGGTTGAAGAAAAAAATAGAGCCATTCTTCTGTTGCAAAGAACTCAGAAAGAACACAACAGGGTAGAATGTTTTTGACACAATGGATTCCCATTTGAAATCTCTGCAAATCATGTTTGTACACCTAACAGTGCTAACACTGTGTGGCACCCCATGGCACCCTTGAAAGGATCTCAAGGCACCCCAGAGTGTCACAGCACCCTGGCTCAGAAACATTGATCTAGAGCAGTGGTCTCCAAAATTTTTTGATTGCGCACTCCTATCAGTAAAAAATTTTTTGAGCACAACCCCCCCAATATATGTACATTTACTGGGGGCACCACTGAGGGCGCCACTGTCAACCTCTCCACATTGCGGAACTCCCACTCTTCCCTCAGGATACCTCATGTAGTGTGCATGACACGTGACCATCTGACATACGGACCGAGTGAGGGTGCCAGTGTCAATCTGTATATTAAATATTAGTAAAGCTTAATTTGTCTCTTATTTTTTTAAATAAAAAATAAATATAAATAGAAGTTCTAACATTTTCTTCCTGCACCCCAATGGATCATCTTGCGCACCCCCTGGGGTACGCGCACCCCACTTTGGAGACCACTGATCTAGACAGACAATGTATTGCTTCCAAAAATAGCATACAGCAGGGACACTGAAGAGCATCCCATCGCACAACTGGCTCTTGCAATCCCCTAGTTGAGAAAGTAGGTGTTCCACGGCGCTCCATTTTCCCCTTTGATTCATACTGATTCCTCAAACCAACCTTCAAACTCCTTTCCAGGCTGGAAGGTAGGGTGTTAGTCATAAGCTGTTCTTATTTTCCTTTTTTGACCTGCGTATGATAGCTATATATGGCAGGGGAGCCATCCTGTATTGACAAAAAAGCATTAGTCAATGATGCTCTTCCCATTCTGAACGAGGCAAGGGAAGAAGCAGATCAGGCAGTACTTCCTACTTATCCTCTCTTCTTAGGAATGACCCAGCTAGATCCAAATTACTGAAAAACAAAACTAAACTTGTAAAAGGAAGTACAGGCATATTTTTAACACAATCTAAAATCTTAGGAACAAAATACAGATCAGAACGCCAAACAGCTGCACTTCCATTCAACAACATGGTTTTCTGCACTGCACTCTCTTAAGATCCTTTTAACCACTTCTAAAGGGATTGTGGAGGGTGGTGGAAGGAAAAGTGTTTCTGCTCAACATGAATTATTATACTGCAACTTACCTCTGCGTGCCACTAAATTTAACCTGGAATGAAACAGGTACAAGTCTTGCTCTACTTGTATCATTACAGTGGCCGGAGTAGGTTAGTTATAGCACACAGTTACTAACATGTTTTGTACCTACCCAGGGGTCAGTCTTAACCCAAGCAGTTGTTCAATATTCTACTACCAACAAGTTTCTACTACCAGTTACTGGATCAGAAGAAGATTGTGTGAACAATACTGAGAAACATTAAATGGAGTGGTCTCTAGAATCTAATGTACGAGAGCTCATTCACAGACTTACAAAAAGGTGAAATACCAGGTCGGGACATGGCTTCCAGAGCAATTTCCTAACACATTAAAATGAGTCCTTATTGGAACAGCTACTTCTACAGCACACACAAACAGGAGCTAGGATTTAGTCGAAATAACACACAGGGATGGACTCAAATATTTAAGTATTCATGATCAAGTAACAGAAAGGGGGAGTAGATTTAAAGAAAGTTACCTGAAGAGACTCATCTTACAGAAGCTTTTATTATTGGTGACGATGCCCAAAACGGAGAGAACCCATTTCCATTCGAAGAACCAGAATTTCCAACACGTCAGGAATGAAAGAGTTCCTGACCACAGGCTGCTAGCAACTGTCAGAAAACTAAAGGTCTACTGCTTAATCAACCATAAGTCTGTCCACAAAGACTTGCCACATTTTGTCCAACACTTTGCATGACTGAACCTAATTCAAGTCTTAGAACTGACAAGGTGAATGTTTCTTTAGGAAATATAAGCTTTGTGTAACATTATACTTTTTTTCTTTTAAAATACAAACCCAAAGAAAAGTTCAATGCTTCTATTCATGGGCAGAGCTTGCTTTTAGTTTAGTATAATTAAAATACTGCCTCCAGATTGGAGGTGGGCCAGACCTCTCTCATGAAATAATATCAGCCTCTATTACCACCTAAGGAGTTCTACCAAGAACATTAAATCTTGTTTCACGTGCTCCCTAATTGGTGAAGTATCATTTAGCTTTAATTGTTTCCTAAGAAAATAAGATGCAAGCACAAAGAGAATTGAATTGAAGGCAAAATTAAGCATGAAAGAGGCAACCTAGATATATAAAAGTAACATGTAACAAATTCCAATTTTGTGATGTATCATTAAAAGCCCTACCTCAAAAACATTATCAACATGAGTAATTTGTTTCAAAACATGGCCACGCTTGGAGTTTCTTTACAGCCCACTCAAATTATATCTATGAAATGATATGCATCACCATCATGATGGAAGAGATACTTCTGTTGTACTAAATCAATGATAAATAGAGCTGCAATCTGAATTTCCTAATGTACTAGTTTCTGACATATATAACCACGATTACAGTAGACAGCCGAGTAAATTGATGATGACAAACATTGATCCTTTATATCTGTTAGGATTTAAAACAGAGCAACTGCATCATTTTTAAAAAGTTCATGCTACTGCTGCACAAGTTCCCAAGGGCAAAAAATCCTACAAAAGTGATTCCTAGCTGTTGCAGTGTTAACTCAAATCTGATACTTTACCATTAACTGCCTTCCTACCATCACAGCAAATAGGGTTAGAAGGGGTCTTGATGGATAATTCAGATCACCCCCTTGCACAAAGGCAGGATCAACTGTACCTAAACCAATCCTGACAGAAGTCTGTCTGACCTAAAAGCAACCAATGACAGAGATTCCAGCTTCCCTATGTAACTCATTCCAATGTTTAACTTTCTTTATAGCTGGAAAGCTTTCCCTAACATCAACCAATCTCTCTTGCTGCAGTTTAAACACCGTTACTGTTACTCCTATCCCCAAGTGAACATGAAGCAAAGTGTACTCCCTTTCCTCTCTGCAGTAACCTTTTACACATACTGAAAGATGCATCTTCCTTCAGCCTTTTTTTCCTAGATTAACCAGATCGTTTCTTTAATTTTTCCTCAAAGCAGCACTCATTCTAGAACTCTGACCCTTCTATTGCTCCCCTCTGGAGTCTCTGAAGCTGACCCATATCTTTCATGACCTTTGGAGCCCCAACCTGGAAACAATACTCCAGGTAAGGCCTTACTGCTATTGAGTAGCTTGGAAAGATTATTTCAGATTTCTGACATGACCCCCTTTGTAAATGGATTTGGAGTTCCTGCTGTCACAGACTGGCTTCCTTGGGAGCTCTTCAGCCATTCCTCTTAGTACACACACCAGTTCTTGCCCCAAACAAATGACTAAAGCAAAACCTTAACCTTTCTCCAGGTGGCAGGAAAAACCTCTGTAGCTCTGGCCCCTTCTTAAAAGCAAGCTTTTCTGGATTCCAAGCTGCCTCCTGGTCACAAACTGTTCCTTCCCAGCTCAAGCTCCTTGCTCTTTCTATCCCTTGGGTTTTTACTCACAGCTAACCACCCACAGCTGGGTTCCTACCCCAGGGCTGTCTGTCTTCATAAAAAGGGCTAGATCATCCTATTGAACCCCTGTTTATACATCACAGCATGATCCTTTTTTTTTTTTTTATGGCTGGCTCTTGTTTGTTCAGGGACAGAAGTTACACAGAAGCCGGTTTAAATAATCAGCAACTGATTTAAACCTGTAACAGAATAGAAGCTCAGTGCACATATGCCAGTTTCAAAATGGTTGAAACTGGTTTAAGATAAATCTGGTTGAATGTAGTATCAGACTTAACTGATCTGGGTCAAACTGGTTTATGAAATGTGTGTCCCAGACCCATTGCTGGTTTAAGTTAAATCACAGTCCCCCAGCATCCCAACATGCTTTCCAGCCCTAGGCTGGGCTGTCCTGTCTGCTCCAGCAGAGACGGGGCGAGGCAGGAAAGGCAGGAACTGCCCGCACCCCAGGCATCCACACACATGCACACATTTCATTTTAAAAATTGCAGAAAAATGCAGATTTGGGGATTTTTATCAGAGAATTTGGGATTGTTAAACAGAAAAAAAAACCAGGAGCCCCAGTTATCAATTAATCTTTTAACTGATATAATTAGAGGAGGTTGAAAGGATAATTTTTTATATAATAGTTAAATCCTTACTACAAGGAAATATGGGAAATGGGGTAGGAAATCAACCTGGCCGAAATGTGACCTCTAGTACCTTAAATTCATGTGTTCGTTCGTATGTATGCATGCATGCATGCATGCCAGTTGAAAACAATGCTTTATTGATATATTTACAATTTTAAAGCAATTTGGAAGCCTACCCATATCTCAATCATTAGAATAAAATAAATTCTAAATACCAATGTATTTTGATGCTTGATTTAATTTCTTTTTTATCATGGAAAAATTAGAGCTCCTCCTGCCCCTTTCATTTCACCAGGAAGTGGGTCCAGCTGCAGCTGTCCCCCCCCCGCAAGCTAGTTTGGCCAGGCTGCAGCCCAGCAGCCCATTGTGAGCACAGGAGTCTCAGCGGTCATGCATCACCAGGTTGTTTGTGCCCACTCTCCCCATAAAGTTACCTGGAGGGAGCTGCTCTCCGTTGCTGTCTGCCTGCCACATGCATTTGTGTGCAAACACATGCACGTGGCACCCCCTGCATCCTGCTCCCCCTGGCTGCAAGCAGCCCCTTGCGAGCTGGAACTTTGCCAGCCTGCAAGGGAAAACCAGCCATTTCCTAGGTTTTTTTCCTTTAAATGAGAAAATTCATGTTTTCCCACAAATGGAAAACCCAGATCCCCACCAATAAACACATACCTAGTCCCCACTGGAGGATGTGGAGTCCCAGGCTGGTCTCTATTCCACCCTGCCCTGCCATGGGAATAAGTCACACCCTGGGAGCAAGGGGCTGTTGACAGACCCGCTCGGACACAACTATGCTACCGGGTGCCTGTCAGCCAGCTCCCGCAAAATGACACATCACCCTTGTTCAAAGCCTTGGGGCACAAGAACCAGTGAGTAAGAGGTTATAATGTTGACCAGAAAACCACAGCTGTACCTTCATCTTTTCAAAACTAAGATTTTTAATTTTTCTAAAGAAATCACTGCAGACTGGGAGAGGGAACTTCAACTTAACAGTAGGTAACAACAGAACAACCTACAAAAATAAGTAATTATAAATTGTATTTAATAAAGCTTAGTTGTAATAGGAGGTGATCGGCTCTAACTGGGTACACAAGGCTCATGACAAAACTTGATTAGACTCCATACCAGTCATGGTTACTCTTAGTTTCCATATCTACAAAATGCGAATAACGTTTACAGTCAGAGAATTGTAAAGATTACCTAGTAAGCACTTAAACAACATTATGTAGCCAAAGAGACACTCCCATAGTAACAACATGTATCCTATTCCTGAATTACATCCTTAATTTTTAGGACATGTTGGTTTACAAATGAACCACATTTTTGGATAAGCCTCTGAAATGCAGTGGGTTGTTCTGGCAAATAAGCTACTCCCTTACACTCCGCTGCATGTAACTGTAAATACATACATTAAATAAATATATAAAATAGCAATTAAAAAAACCCACACTTTGCCATCATCTTCTAGACAATTATTAGGAATGTCTTTAGAAACAAAATAGCTGAAGAGTTTACTTTCATCATCATTAGGTCAGAAAGGAGTACTAGGTTAGTAAGACAAATTGATATGTTACTGCAGACATCTTCACTAATTTCTAACAGGACCAAAGCCACAGACACTTTTCTCATGTTACCATACCTGTCTGTTGTAATAGTAAGGATATCTGTATCCTTGCTGTACCGCTCTCCTACAAGTTTAATAAGCTTCTTTTTCGCATGGTCATCTAAATTCAGGTTGGAAAGTTTAACCTTGAAGTACAAGAAAAATATTATTAGTCTCTTACAAATCCAGTCCCCATACACTGCCTAATATTTTAAAAACTGTTAGGCAATTTTTGTCAGACAACTTTTACTCAGATACAAAAACCAGGGCAGAGGCATAAATTTGAAGAATTTCCTCAAATTGTTTTAACAAGTAATGTGATTGAACACAGATCAGGTATTATTTCAGAATGAAGAGTGTTGGGTAAATTCATTTCCCATCTTCCCAGTGCTAAGAAAAATAGCAGGTAACTTTTGCACACATTAGGACACACTCTCAGATTCCCAGAATTGTTTGCCACAAGAGTCTAAAAACAGGAGAAAGTTTTTTGTTTTTTTTTTTATATCAGTTCAAGGTTCTCTAGAATGCTACTCTATTACTGGGGGATATTTAAATGGATGAAGGATGTACACAAATATTAAAGCCATTACAGATCATAATGGCTGTAATCCCCTAGTCAGAGGGGACCGGCAGGCACTGGGGAAGTCCCTGTTCCCCTGTGCACTACCAGGAGTGACCAGGAATAATGGTCACAAGCTGGCAGAGGGTAGATTTAGGCTAGATATCAGGAGGCGCTACTTCACGGTCAGGGCGGCTAGGATCTGGAACCAACTTCCAAGAGAAGTGGTGCTGGCTCCTACCCTGGGGGTCTAAGAAGAGGATAGATGTACACCTTGCTGGGGTCATTTGACCCCAGTACTCTTTCCTGCCATGGCAGGGGGGTTGGCCTCGATCTGCTCAGGTCCCTTCTGACCCTAGAAACTATGAAACTATATCGGATCGTCTAGTCTAACTACCTATGTAACAGAAGTTACTGGTTTTCACCTAGTAGTTTTGCTTCAAGTTCAATCTGAAATTGCAGAGAAAGCAACTACATAGCAGAAAGCTCCAGCTAAGAGGAAGTCAGATTGAACACTACATATTACATGCAGAGTCTAAGCAATAATAGGTAAAATGCTTCTACTGGCTGTAAATTACTTGAAACGACAATGGGCAGACGATTCAGAGGACTCTGAAACACGTTAAAGGTGCAATTAACATATTAACTGTGCCACAGATAATAACACTGCTACATAGGCTAATGATACATAGCATCATGAAGTGGCAAGCCAGCTACACAGATGTTCCACATATTTTGTGGACTATTTTTGTGGCTGGTTTGTATTCTGCCATAAATTAAACATGTAGCATGTCCCTATCCTAATACTGACAATAAACTGACTGATAGGGGTTAGTATCAGGATTGGGACAGCACCAGTCTCAACACTGAAAATGGAGTGCTCTGAGAGTGTTGCAAGGTTCCCCAGTTGGGGACAGCCAAGGGGTTCTCCAGTCCAGAAACCTGGCAACCCCTAGTACCAACAGCTTTCCCTGCCTTGCCTTAACTAATAATACTTATATTAAGCAACAGCACACAAATTCTTCTGAAAAGAAAGAATTCAAAGAACAAGCAACAATCTGGGAAACTGCTCAAAGCTAAAAAATTCTGCTTGGGGAAAAAAACCCTGCAGAATAATCATGTAAAGGCTTTAAAAAATGTCAAAAAATGAAGGAGTAACTGAAGAGCTAAAAGAAATAAACATATCAAGAAAAAAAGTATTAAATAGGAAAAAAATGTCCATTTGACATTGTCTATCTATAGAATGGGCAACTGGATTCTGAATTTAGGACAAATCAAATGTGACACAAGCAATCAAGATGGCTGACAAGTGACTTCATGTGGATTACCTGCATTTTGATTTTGTTGCATGTCACCATAACTAGCAGAACTCTTACTGTACCATGAGTGTTAAAAGATGGTCCCACCCTATGAAGCACACGCACCAGTTTTTAGGAAACACAAATCTGAAGATATCCTGCCACTGGCAATCAATTCCCTCTTTCTGGGATTGAGTCAGGGCAAATCAATTTAAAAATCACCTACTTAAACCAAAAATTTAATCAAACAGGAAACCTTAATTTAAATAATCAAACAATCAATACTTTAAATAATCAGGTGCTCCTTCCTCCCAGTCAAAGGGCTCTAGCAGCTGGGAGCAGCTCCTAGCAGCAGCTGTATCTGAGCTCCTGTATTATATCAGTTAAATGATTAACCTATGATTAGAGGAAGTTAAATGAATATTTTAAAATTATATTTACATCCTTACTCTATATGCTTTTATTTGGATCTTTAATTTTTACTATTATGTTAAAAGTTGTAAACAATTAATTTCTTGTACTAATGCACACCCTATTTTTTATTCACAAGTGTCAACTTACATTTGGATGGACGTTAGAATTCTAACTAAATGTTACCAAAAAAAGCAATTTAGTTTATTTAACTAATTTTAAAAAACCCCAGTATCTGAAACATACTGGAAACACAAAAAAATGTAAATACATTTTACTTTTAAAATAGACTAGCTAGCTCAGATACCAAAAGCAGTGTAGCCACATTGTGACCCTTCACCTCGGCTGTTCAACCATTTGTTGAATCAGGCTGCAAGGCTGTAGAAATGAAAGCTATCTATTTGCATGGGAATTTTAAAAAGCAGTTCAAAATATATATCTGTCTTTTGCTCACTGCACTTTTCCATTATGCAGATATTTTGGGGTGGGGAGGCAAAGAATGCACTTCCTCTCACTGTAGATCACCCATCCTTGCAGAATAAGTATTACAACTCCTCCCAAATGTGGAATGTTCTAGAAGTTTCAGTACACTTGAGGGGGTCTGGCTCTGTTCAAGACAGGGTCATGTTCATATGGCCTTCTTCTCCAAGTGGCTCACCCCGCTCACAGCAATTTGAAAAAGGAGTATTTTGGCCTAATCCGGGTAGAAACAAACAAACAAACAAAAACCCTTTCTCTCACAAGGATCTGGTTGCACAGCCTTAAAACCAGATCTTATTCCATCTATTTGGTATTTAAGCAGTACTTCCGTGTCCAGGTCTCTAAATATAATCCTGCTCAAGAATATTTCAAAGAGTTGCAAGCAAATGCCAGAATAGTGTGCAAAAGCGCAGGTTTCCCCTTGCAGGCAGCATTCCAGCCTGCAAGGGGCTGCTTAGGGGATGATTACAACACAGCCAGGCAGGCCTGTGGCAGCAGCCGGATGAGTGTAAGTATATGGGGAGCAGGGGTTGAAGGGCCGGGGCTTCAGGACTGTCAGGGTGGGGAGAGCAGCACGTATGCATGGATGGAGGGTATAGGCGTGTATGGGGGTGGAGAAGGTGCCTGATGGCACTGGGGAAGGCGGCCAGGTGGCCTGCAGCCAAGGCTGTGGCAGGGCAGGGGGGTGTGGGTCATGACAAGCCACTGATCCTTGCAAATGGGTCCCGGTACAAAAAAATGTTGAGAACCACTGCCCTACGTTTATCCTTACATGCTTTGATGTCTAGGTATGGGAGGCTGTACTCAGAGATCAGAGTAAGCCCTTGGTACTTCACTGTCTTGCTCATCCCTAAGCAGCTACCTTCTGGCCCTGATCCTTGCTTGAGCAAGACATTACACTTCTGGCCTTTCCCTTATCCACAGACTCCCTGAGCTTGTCTTACTTGCTCTTCGGTCTCAGGACTTGTCAGCCCTCAACTGTGACCCTTTAGGTCTTCACTGCTTTAAGGGCTCCCTGCACTCTGGGCCCTTGACCCTCGCATAAATTGGCTTCTGCCTGCACAGTTGCTGAAGGGCCCTGACCCTTGCAAAGCGCTCACGCTCTCTCTCTCCCCCACCTTTCCTTCTTGACTCCGGTCTGCTTGGCCCACCAAGCCCTGGACCCCAGGTCAGATCATTTTCTCCTCTTTCGTCTCTGTTTCAGCCATATGGATCCCAGACCCTTACAGGGCTCTTTCCCTGGCCTTCACCTCTTAATGTTAGGCCCTAGGCCCCGTCTCTCACTCTCTCTCTCTTTCCTTTCCTCATCTTTAGCTCTACACAGCCCCCTAGGTCCCAGACTCTGGTAGGGCTCCCTCCTTGGGCATTAGCAACTCCCACACTCTATTCAGATTCAGGCCCACACAGCCCCCTGGGTCTCAGGCCCTGGCAGGGCTCTTCCCCTGGGCCTTACCCTGTGGTAGGAAAGGCTGTCTCCCAGGCACCCTACCCTGCCTGTGGCTTCCCAAGCATGCCAAATTGCTAGTCAGGCTATAAACAACTCGACTCAAAAAGTGCTTATTTGGAGGAGGTATTCTCCAGCTCCTTCCCCCTTCAGAATTAGAGCCAGTTGCACATCTGGCCCTGGGCTAGACTTATATAGCCCTTCCTCCTCTCCCTTCCTGACTGCTGGTCTTCACGGCCAGGCTGACGGGTTTCCTCTTCTGTCCCGATTAACAAGTTTATTGATCTGGTCTGCATCTTTACTTCACTTCACTTGTTTCCTATCTCCTCTGGCAACAAAGTGACTGACCTGCAGCTAGCCTCTGTGGTGCTGCACTTTCATTTCTAGTAGCAGGGGTCCCCTGCTATGGCAGAGGAAAGAATTATCAATTGAAACAGGTTCTGAGGTCCTTCCTATCCCTTTCCTCACCCTGCCTACTCTATAAAATCTGACCACCAAACCCAGCTTGCATGTCCATACAGACTTTCCTCAAAATTTCATGACCAAAATACCACTTCCCATAGAATTCACATGACGACTCCTATAACACTAAAGATGGTTACTTACAACTACTAAAGGAAAGTCTCAACTCCAATTACTGTAAAATGAAAATCCTTCTTAACTTTAAATACAGGTTCAGCCTCTTTGATTTGTAAGAAAATATGGGTCTTTCCCAAAATTACAGCACCTATTCTCTGAGTACACACTAAGTTTTTCAAGAATCTGTAAGCAAGTTTAATTAATTAAATTACAATTAAATCAAAGCTTGGGTATTTCAAGAAATTTAGTGTGTGTGTGTGTATTTCACTATCCCAAATGATTTCAAGAGGGAACAGCTTTGAATAGATAGCTGATAAATAGCTTAATTACAACCTTCTAAATAGTGTGTGTTATTAAAAATTGGTAAGTATTTTGTAGGCTACAGACACTGTTGTAATAGGAAGGATGGTGGTTAGTTGTTGTTAATTTACAAACACTTTATTTTCTTACAGCTCCCACTCCCCTAAATGAAACATGCACCTTGTTTTTGGAAGGCAGAATATAGAAAAAGAAAAAGATTTTTCCAGAGTCATGGCCATTCACGTGACAGAGCAAGTCCTCCTGGAAACAGTTTCCAGGAACTGTGTCATTCCAGGAGTCAGTTTGGTGGAAGAAGCAGAAATTTTCTAGTGTGGTAGAACAACAAGGCTAGGCCTCAGACCTCTGCAAGGACAGTAGGAAGACTGTTACTTCTTTACTGTGCACAGCTCTTTATATAAGTTCTTGCAAATAATGTGTTATTTCCATAGGTGACCCGAGCAGGGCCCAGGGCAAATTAGCCTTTGCGGGGCTCTGCCCCAGATGTGAGGAAGCCGGTGGTGGATTCGGCTGGAGCCAGCAGCAATGCAAAGTCTCCTCAGCCACTCTGCCTGGCTCCACAGGGCCTGGGGCAGTTGCCCCAGTGTGCCCCCAGCAGGGACAGCCCTGGTTATTTCTATATCACAAACCTCATCAACAGACTACAGACTGCATGCAGCAGCTTGCTCACCCTCAGTTAGGACATTAGTTCTGTAGCCAAAAGCTACTGCCTCACCAGCAACTGTTAAAGAGGGTTATCACTGGATTCTGCCCCCGCTGTATGCAGCCCTAGTGGGAAATGAGAGCCATGTTGGGAACCATGAGTCAGTGTCTATTTGCAGTGTTGCACCCCACGTCTCTTCCAGCAAAGAAATCAAACTCTCCGCTTCAGATACACAACTCTGGAAGGCTGATTATGGAGAGAAAGATGGATGTGGTATAAGAGAAAGTACAGAAATTTGTAATGAGTCAGTGGCACGAGAGAGCCCCAATATGGCTAGTACCACTAGCCATATTGCAACTATGCTCTGTACTGCTCCTGTTTACTGGTAACTCTGCCTTAAAAAAACTGACTAATACTTGAGGTAAATATTACATGCCAACCAATCATTAAAAATATCACATGGTAGCACTGTCTGTGTTTGTTAAGTATTCACATATGAAGTTCAAACAGTTTTTACCCTTTGGTGGGATAAGAAACAAAACAGTGTCTTAATCACAACTGTACAGTTTTTGCCAGTTGTTACTGAAGGGAGAGTTAAGATTATTTGAATGCCAAAAACTGTTAAATTGTTGTATATTTTTTAAGTCCAACTCTTTATTTTCTGGGTTTGTAATGCTCCTTTTGTTAGCTAATTACAACATTTATTATTTTTACATCTAGTTTACACATACACTTGCAACTACACCCAAAATGGATGTGTATCTTGTAATATTACTAAAATTAAAACTGTATTAGGGCCCTTGAGATAAGCATATCACTTAAGACTAAGATACTTATACACAAATCAAAATAGTAGGAAAAGGTATAAAGAGGCATGGTGTTTTTTTCCCAACCAGACCCCAAGTAGGCTTTCAATATCCAAACATGCCCACAAGAAGGATCTGCTTTCTGTGTTTTTTCTCGGAAAACAAAAACTTTTTGTCCTGTGAACTCCTGAATATAAAGGGTAGTGTTTGAATCACTAAGTCAATTACCTCCTCAATGTTCTAGGTCACCAAGGAATTCATAGCCCTGCTAGGTATAACAAAAATTGATATTTTTGCTATTTGCAGAGTAAATGTCAGGTAAAGTAAGAATACTGTCACAGATCTGTCTTAGAACACCCCTTTGACTTTTACAGATCACCTTTAAGGCCAAGAATAATACCTTTAGTGACCATTAAACTCCTAGTCTGGATTTCTGTTCTCAGGCAGAGTTCCAATTCAAGCTCTGCCACTATCACATTCTAACTAATTAAAAAATGAGCAATGTTGCTAGCCTGAGGACACTACTATTTTAGTGCTATTAAGAAAGACCTCTAAGGCCAGAGAATAGATTAGTTCTCATTTTAAGTCTTATAATTAGGGGCCAACTGAATTTGAGGTGGCTGCCTGCCAATTTTGTGGGCAGAATACAGGGCCCAGCAGCCATTCATAGGCAGTGTGGCTCTGATAGACTGTGGGGAGCTGGTGGCCCCACCCCCTCCACTAATTGGCTGTGAAGACTGCCTGTCATGCAGCCCCACACCTCATTGCTGACTGGCTGCAAGGTCTGCTCGTCATGCGGCCCTGCACCTCACCGCTGATTGGTAGAGAGGGGCAGGGCAACATGACAGGTAGCCCTCACAGCCAATCAGTAGTGAGGGGCACAGCAGCCATCTCAATGGCAGTCTGAGTGGATTTCATGCTTTTTGCGGGCAATGCTGGATTTCACAAAATCCTGATTTCAGTTGGTACTTACTTATAGTAAATGAAAAATGCAAAAACAATAAGGGCATCCCAGAAGATACATGAATATTGGTCCCAAAATGCTTGAGATGCTAACCAGGGAAATTATAGGACAGGCATACCCTGACACAAGAAAAAACTAAGTTTTCTTCAGCATATCTGTTACTGAACTGAATGCCTGCAGTTATAAATTGTGCAGCTGATAACATTACCTCTCTTCTTTAAATTCTGTCAGAAAGCATGACTTTTTGGGTCTTCCATTGCCTTTCACTTGAAGATGAACAGTCACACTCTACATATGTCCCTTTAAATCAAGCTTTTTTCCTCAACAATACTAGAGAAAATGACTCCTTGTTAGTAAGGTCTACATACTACTTACTCTTAAGGTCACCGCTCTTGCTTTGGGATTACGAATAGATGGCCCTGCTGAAACATAATCCACTGTGTCAGTTTCAACAGGAAAATGCTGCTCACATTTCTCGTCACTGTCCAATGCAGTTGGCCATTCAGTGCAGAAATCTGAAGAAATAAAAAAAACAAGTTTGATTCAAGCAATATTACTGACATTCACGTGACAACAGGACAGTACCATCATATATCTGTATTTACCTTTTAAAGGAATTGTTTTGTGTAGTTAAGCAGAAACCATATGGAATAAATACTGAAAACTATCAAGCCATTACAGGATCACACCAATAACTTCCTTCCTCCCTCCTCCCCTTCCTCTTCCTTAAATATTAGCTTTGTTATCTACTGAAGAACTCTAACTCTATATCTTTCCCAAAAAAGTTAACCTTTAAAGCAAGGGTTAGCAACCTACAACCCACAAAGAAGTTGAACCTGGCCTTGGGTGAAATGAGGGATTGGACAGCAGAAGGCCAGGTTGCAAGCCATGGCCTGGGGAGGGAAGAAAAATATTACACATGTACCCTAGCATAGAACTCCACCAGTTCGGTGGGTTGCTACATTCTATATTAGCTTTATATTCCAAACCACTGCAGAATGAAGTGCCAAAAAGAGCACATTATAGTGATAATTACTGAGGGGGGAAAGACATAGATAACTAGGATAGAATCCTCATGGAAGGGAGGAGACTGAGCTTCTTGAGTACAGATATAGAACTGGTCTTGACCTCAACCACAACCTGGGTACCAAGGAGGAACATACAGTAGTATCTAAGAGAACTAACCTGCACAAGATACACTTTCAATTGGGGTACTTATTTAAATTTTCCTCTGTTCTTCCAGGCCTCAATGCACACAGATTATACCAACGTTAGTAGAAGAGTAAAGTTAAAGGAGAATATCCCTCAGTGCAGCTTGAGTTATAGCGACATAAACATGCTTGTACCTGCATGGAAAGGAGACTAAGAACATCTCACAGTAAAACCCTAGGGTACTCAAGGAGCTGGCGAGCATCATAGCCCACCCCTTGGCACAGATCTTTGAAAGCTCCTGGCGCTCTGGTGTAGTGCCTGATGACTGGAAGAAGGCCAATGTGGTGCCTTTCTTCAAGAAAGGGAGGAAAGTGGATCCAGCTAAGTATAGGCCCATCAGCCTAACTTCTATGCCCAGGAAGGTCTTAGAAAAGTTTATTAAAGAGGCCATCCTTAATGGACTGCCCGATGCCAACATCCTAAGGGATAGCCAGCACGGGTGTGTTGCGAGTAGGTCTTGCTTGACCAATCTCATTTCCTTCTATGACCAGGTGATCTATCACCTGGACAAGGGAGACGAGATTGATGTTGTATATCTTGACTTAAAAAAGCCTTTGATCTGGTATCCCAGGATCACCTCTTGGTGAAACTGGCCAGTTGTGGCCTTGGCTCCATCATGATCTGCCAGCTGGGAAATTGGCTCTGTGGTCAGACCCAGAGGGTACTAATTGATGGAAGGCACTCATCATGGTGTCCTGTGACCACTGGGGTCCCCCAAGGCTCTGTCCTTGGACCCATACTGTTCAACATCTTCATTAATGATGTGGACATTGGAGTCAGGAGCGGACTGACCAAGTTCACTGATGACACAAAACTTTGGGGCAAAGCATCCACGCCAGAAGAGAGGCCGGTGATCCACGCTGACCTGG